AGTTAGCCCCCAGCTAGATATGTAGTCCGCACGTTTGTAACCCTAACTACCCACCGCAGATGTGGACCAGCCCAGTTGAGTACCGTTGGAGCGTCTTTCTGTTCGCCTTCTGCACGGCAATCTGCAAACTGGGTCCCAGGCTCGCAAGCTGTCAATGTGGCTCGTCATCGCCGCCAGCTGCTGCTGGCAAGCCGTCTATGTCGCCGAGTTGACCAGCGGTCTCTTCATCGCATACTGTCGATATCTCATCATCCCGAGTGTGTCTCGTACCCTCCCCAGTTGCCTAGCGATAACGATGATGATGATGATGATGATGATGATGATGATGATGATGGAAAGCCTGACCGAAACAGTCGCTGATCTCCCAGATTGTACATGTTGCCGTTGTCATATCCTAATGCTGATGTGCCAAGACCTTATCTCTACTGTCCTGGAAGTCACCTGGTCACCGTCAAACTCTTCTAGGAGATTTCCAGTACTTCCAGGTGGTATACCCTGAGGTAGGTTTGGAGTTCAGGGGTCTTTGACTTTCGTTGCATGACTATAATTTTCCTCGGAATGAAGCTCGCGGCAGAAAATATCTTGAAAAGAACGTCGCAAGTCTCTGGTACCAATGTACTTCTTGTGGAATGCTTTGGAGCAATGGAACTTGAACACTTGCTGATGTCACCACTGTGAAAAGAGTAAAGTAAAGTACATAATGTTGTGGTATGCTGAATTCTAGCATGCCGTCATGGCGTTGCAACCATCGATCAACGAGGCTCACGACTCCAGCAACAATTTCTGGTGGACATTCATTTGTCTCGCCACTGAATGCAAAAATACATCTTGAGGCCGCTGTATATCTCCAATCATGGATGGCGAAACCCTGTTCCACCTCATCGACGTGTTAGACGCCGGTGGAACTGCCGGTGCAACTGTCTAGATATCGCCTGCGGAGAAGCTGTGCAGAGGAGCGCCTTTGGTCGTATTAGCATATCGAAGCCTTGAGGTGAGATATGGGCTTACATCGTGGTAGAATTATTGAGTTATCAGGCCAAAGGTATGATGATTCCTGACGGGATGAGGGCTGATACCAGAACAAGTCTTCATCACATTCACGAGCGTGTCTGAATAGGTCAGTATGCTAGAATATACATTACTGTGATGAAAAGCGACCTACCATCAGCAGTGGTCTGCGCAGCCCAGTTCGACACTGATTGCAAGAACTGTGTAGATGTACAAATACAGGGTATATCGTGGGCCTCACAGCCTGTCGAGGTAACAGCATCGCTCAGCCAGAACGACTATAAATGGTTAACAACAAAACAAGTACCGCCCACAGATGTACCCACCGAGTATGAGGAAACTGGACGTGCTTGCGTCGAGGCACTTAGAGCAAAGAGAAAAAAGCTGATAAGACCTTTCATGGCGGCTGAACGATCGATACTAATCACGATGAACGTTTAGTCGCCAGAAGGAAGAGATAGATCAAGTCGTACGAACAGTGAGTCTTTAGAGGCCGTAGTGATCAGCTGGTTGAAGACCCTCGAGCTCGTGAGGGCTAGGAGTGGCTCGAAAGGCCATTCGCTGTGAATAGCAGTGTGTCCGGCGCCACGAACTCAAAGAGAAATGGGAAAGGCTCTTAGCAAGCCACGGACACCTGGATCATGGCGGTGTGGGTGGCAAAGGTCTCAGGCGAGGCAGATTATAGGGACATGTCGGAGGCTAATACACCTTTGCACCGGGTTGTTCGCCATGAAAGCGAATGCCGCAAGCCACTGAAGCTGACACAACCCCCTACATGATTTCGATTCGGACTGGCAGACAGGTGCTCCCAAGCCATTGACCAAACGGCAAAAAGCAGCGGCCAACATGCCGTTGCCAATCATCCCGGCAGGCGATTCCCTCGTACTGTGCATGCGGATCTGCATCAACACTTGGTGGTCCTGGCGCGGGAGGCTCTGTCAGGTACACGAACTTAGCAAGCATGCAAGACCTGCTTGGTAAATATGCCAGTCCGGCAGGACCCACGAAAGGATGCTTGCTGAAGGCCGACGCTACCGGTATGCGGACCAGCAACAGGAGTAGGGAGACCGGCTTTACGAGTTACAGCCACTGGAAACTCTTTCAAGGAGCACTCACGGAAAAGCAGGGCTCGACCACGGCCAATTTCGACAACCTGCAAGTGGTGGGAAGATCTCCTGCGCTCAAGTCATGTGGCGTAGCTGACAACACGGAAAGGTCTTCTAAGAAGTGTTTCGATGCTTGGTTGTTAAGGTTCGACCGCTGGTTGGGGGCAATGGTACAAGCCAGATTCCCAGGATCGAAGGAGCTTTGATAAATTGCCATGCTTTTTGGTACCCGATGGCTGCACTGACCAACCGGGCTTATACGAGGTGCTGAGGTGGTCCATAGGCCCATCCCTGTCTTAAGCAAGCCCTTGACGAGAAAGGTGCTATAAACTGGTGTGCACACCATCCATGAGTCTGACGCTACCCATGGTCACTCTTCAGAGCGTGTGAGGAGGCAACTTTTCGCAAAGGAATGGAAACAGCCAGCTTCCTCTTCGGTGAGGCCTACGCCACCGATCGAGTTGGTCGAAGATAGATCGGCATAGTTTCGTCCGCTGGTTTGTCGTTCTACCTCGTATTCATGCGCATCGACATGGTGAGGCGTACAGTATCTTGCCATTGTGGAGTAGAGGAAAGCCGCAAGCCAACAACCAGCTGAGATTGGGTGTGTCATGATTCGTGGAGAAAAGCTGGTAGAGTTCAGACCAACTCTAGCTTGGGTAGCGAGACCGGATAGTTGCAGGTCAGAGGACTCGACTGACACGAGCACGTCCTTTGCTGCCCCATTACAAGTTTTGTGGCGGCGCCGTGACTGGGGCAGCAACATCAGTACTACATTTAACCATATCACGCAACAGCAAGAAAGGCAACAATTTAAGCCTCACAAACGCCGAATAAGCCAGAGCAACCTTAGGGAGCATGCTTAGCGAAACCTGTTCCACACTCTCTTTGAAATCTACGCGAGGAGAGATCGACGGATGACCTGCATGACGTGATGCCTCGGCTATGACTTGCTGTGGCAGTAGTGGATGCGGAGAGTACCTCCGCACTGATCGGGACTTCTGATCGTTATGTGCCAAGACACCCCGCGTCAACCTTAAATACGGAGATTCAAAAATCCATTGACAGGGGCCGGGGTCCTGGGCTTTAACTCAACGGTCTATTTCCCCACCATTGCTTGGCGAGAAGAGCAGGCCCCACCGTGCGTTCCATGGAGCATGCTGGACACCCAACTGTCATACTGTGCCATTACACATGAATTGCTGGGACCTCAGTTAACTTCGTGTCGGGAATGCTTGTTGTATTTTACCCACGGTCCCGTTGTTGAAAGCCTCCCTCTTCGTGGTTGCGACATAATCTTAGCGTGGTGATGGTCCGAGCCTGCATAGGACCGTCCGGGCCCCTCTAGACAGGGCTATTGTCCAAGACGCACAAGTATGCAAAAGGCCTCGCGTCGAAGGTTGTCTACAACGAATGCTGGCCGGAGGCGAGGGTACTGTAGACATCTGCTTGGGTGTAGCAGTGGAGCTCGAACGGAGATTTGAGAACCATTTTCCCTTTCGTTGACCGTGTGTGGCCGACCCGAGACTGATGGAGCCTCGCCGGTGTTGTGAGCACCAGCTTCAGAATGAGCAGAGATTGATAGTTTGCAGAAAGTTTGTAGTCCGGCAGTCTTGGAAAGGAGTCTCCAGCCATCAACGCAGTTGCCACGGTGCCAGGATCTGATGGATGTCCGCGAGCATGTCTGGAGCACGCCAATGTCGGCAAGGGCATGGGACTTCGGATCAGGTGCAGGTGCAATTGATGGTCCAGATGGTGGTGCCAGCATCAATGGTATCAGCAGTGCAAGGTCGCCGGCAGCTCCTCGATTGCTCAGGAAATCCATTGACGCACATCTTCACGCTATTATGAAGTCGAGATCGATCTTAGTGCTGCCATCTTGACGGCCATGTGCCCCTGGTCCTGTAGACTATCGCATATTGCGAGTTCTCCGACATTCGTGGGCTTGGCAATCATACCGCGCCGCTGAGTTGCTTATCAAGCATTACCGTCCATAATCTTCTACGCCCGTTGTTGAACTAGTTTTGCAGTGTGAAGGCTCGTGGTATCGCTCCTATCGCTGAAAAGTTGTCAGCGAGGCGGACACTGTAGGCCCAAGTGGCGTCGATGCCTGAGCGAGTAAGTCAACAGAGCTCGTAGCCCTCTACCTCTCCTAGAGAGTGCTTCAGTATGGTTCGACGTACTACGAACGAGCTCTCCGATCCACGGCCACAAATCCAGTATGTTATTGTGCAAGGGCTCGCACACGAGTACATAGACGATATAGCCAGCATGCTGTCACTTTTTGTCGGCAAGCCTGTTCTCTGAATTTACGACCATGATTCTACCAGATTTTGGGGGGCAGCCAAAATTGGGTGGCTTAGTTGGCTTTTAACCCATCCCCCTGACACGTTCCAGGGCTAATTTTTGGTCTGATCGGAGTCGCTTCAGTTGCTTCACGTGCTGTCCCTCAGGGCCACAAGCTTGCCAAATCTCCCAAATCCCCTGATTTCGTATCGATCTCCAGGTCCAATACGACTTTGCTTGATTTTCTTATAGCTTTGAAAAGCATTGGGAAGGTTCACTATCGACACATCGCCAGCATTGATTGAGACCGGGTTTAAAAACCTCTAGGATTCGGGGAGTGTTCTGCGCCACAAAGAAAATAAGAGACACAACGAATTTTAGCGGGATTGACTGCCTTGCTCGTTTTCTTTCACGACAGCAGAGATCACAATTTCTCCTTTCAAAGGTGTGGGAGCATGATCAAATTGCGAGGGTCGATGAATCTTTCCAACAAGTTCATCGTCATCACTTCTTCCCTTTTCCTCATCTCTACTGCTTTGGCATATCATGTCCTGATCGGGATCAACCTCTCGGGATTGGCCTTACAGTTCACGCGGCCAAATGTGGGAAACGACTACGTTGACGCAGAGCAAAGACCTGATCAGACGTTATCATCACTGCCATCACCAGCCACTGACACGTCAGTGGCCTAAAGTAATTCTGTACCTCAAACAGGAGACGGCGAGCACGGCGACGACGGATCGCAGAGCGACAACACCACCAAGGTCGACCTCAATGTGCTGCCTCAGGTCGAAACCACTGAGCTTCGTTACGATACCGGATTTGATCCTGGATCGGGCTATCGCCCATTGTATTCACTAACAACGACGGACGGTAAATTCCTACCAATTCATTTTGGCGATATACTGGCATACAATCCGAATATTCTACCTCACCCTACCAAGAACAATACCTGGGTTGTTATCGCCCAAAAGGAAGAGAGCCGAGTGGTCAAATCAGTCATGCATGAATTGGTATGCATTGCGGAGTTGGTGAATGATGCTCTGGTTTGTACCGGTGCTCCGATCGATTTGCCTGTCGCGCCCTCTGTCCGGGGTGATTGTCCTACAAGGGAGCTCGACATGTTCAATTACATGTTTGGACCCCGTGACGCACGCATGTTTCACGGACCCGAAGCCCCCTTTATCGTTTACGGATCTCAGTCGACATACGGCTGCATGGGGCTTTGGATCCAAGACGCTCGCGCGCTCATAGGGGACTTGCAGTCCACATTTTTGAAGATGATGGTGCAACTCACAAATGCAACGGAACTTGACCGGCCGCCCCCCCGCCATGGTATTGAGAAGAACTTCTTCCTCTTTTGGGATAGTCACGGCGAGGTATACGCGCACCAAGACGTTCATCCCTGCCGTGTTTTCGCCCAGCTTGCCTCCGATGGAACTGTTGGGCCCAACCTCGCGCCTCAGAGTTCGAACGGAGACAAAGTCTGCTTGGAAGAATATATGCCAAAGATTGGACCAGAACTGGAGTCGATACACCAAGCAACCAATTCTTTAGCGATCACCCTTTGCAAACGCTCCGAGTCACTTTGCATACCCAGTGACGAAAACACATATATCATGATGATCTTTCAGCACAAAACTTATTTCGGCTTTCATGCAGTTTACGAAGCATATATCATGCTCTTCCAACGTACTGCGCCCTTTGCCATTCACGCCATCTCTACAAAACCGTTATGGATGCATGGTCGGGGTCCTCTAACCAGAGATACACACGCAATCTTCTACGAAGGTCGACCCGATGACGAGTTCCCCCAGAACCACACTGAAATGTTTTACGTCACAAGTATAAGCTGGAAGAATCGTGACCAAAGGTATCATGGTTACGAGGACGACCCGCTGGTCATAGCGTTCGGTATCGAAGATACGAGGTCTGGGATCATCGATGTTTTCGCAGGAGATTTGCTACGAGATCTGGCGTTCTGTAGAACCAAAAACATATAATCGTTCAATCATTGTCGTCGCTAAACTTATGACATTGTTGCCTTGGTCGAGACGCGTCTTTGTGTCAGAGCAATCATGGTAATGATGGGCGTCGCAGTACTGGGACCGCGATGAAACGAGATTGGCCAGTCCAGCTGCAGGGTTGGCTCCTTTTAGATTCAAACGCTGTCGCGGACAGAACAGTTCACGATGGGATAAAGACCCACCTGCGAACCTCAAATGCAGAGCTCTGCCTCGGGATATGAGGGGGTTAATCATCTGTCAAGCCTCATCCGGGAACAAGCATTTTTGACAAAGCGAATGGCCGAGGCATGTCGGGTAAAGCTATAGGAAGGTCCCAATGAACAAAACCTCGAGACTCTTGACCGCAGGTCCGTTGCGGGTTCCATAATGCTTCGCCTCGTTTCGAGCCCCTTTTTTGTGGCAGTGTTGGCATCATCCGTGCCATAAAACCCGTCCTTGCGAACTGCTTATGTTGATGATTTGTTGAACCTGTACTTCTCGTTTTTACACAGACGAATGTCGACCAGTAGCCACCTTGGGGAACTCTTCTTTCCTTCTGCTCCGGAAATCTTCTGTGGACTAAGCGTGGACCTAGAGACATGCCAGTGTTGCTTTCATCTGCACGAGGCACCATATATAAAAGACCATTTTTCCGAGTCCCCCCGGTCCCGGAAAGAGTACGTTGAGTGGATATATGTACGGACAACGAGCAGAGTCTTCGCCAGATCAAAACTTCTCGATTTTCTAGAAGCGGTTGAAACTGTCTCTCAAGCCAAGCGCTTTCATCGTGTTTATGCGGTCGAATCTCCCCTGACGGCGTGTCGATTCGGCCGATTGTAAGCGAGCCCGTGTCTCGAGATTGGAACTTCAAGGATACTTGCGGCACTAGTGGCCGTTCGATGCAAAAAGACCAGGACGTAGACCTATCTCGACATTGGGAGATCTAATTCGGTTGTGGTCGTTTTGAATCATCGTCGCGTTGGGCTAGGTTGACGTTGATATTGGCCTAGTCACACCTCTGCTTTCACAGTCTTTGCCGGATACTCTGGTCGTGAGTTTATCCCCACCATAGCAGAACATGACGCGACCTGTGGCTGAAGCAATACATTCAGTAAAGTAACGGGTCCCCGGCAAGAGCGACGCTGCACGTTTCGGAAGAGCGGAACACGACTTAGATGACAGGGAATAGTTTATAGCTATTATGCTTATTCACATTACAGAGGCGGCTGAGGGTCATTGTCCTCGACGCGGGGCCGAAGTTTTCAAGCGACAATGGTGCAGAAAATACTCCAAAATCAAAAAGATCTGTCAATCTGACATCAAAAGAACTCGATGGTCTCTTCCCAAGGCCATTCGACTACGGGAATATTTACGGGCGACCATGTATTGTCAAACGGCAAGATTACGCGACGGCTTCCCGCACCATTCAATGGTCTGACAGCGCCTTGTTACACCAGCGTTTAAGGGCGACGACGAGGTCTCGATCAGTGGGTAAATCACGTTATAGGAAGTAGATAAATAATGCCTCTCTTACCTATAAATACGTAGTAAGTATATAAGTAGTTATAGAAGAATAGAGAATTCAATATATTATATTATATATACTATTCAAGATATTATTTAGATTAGAAAAAGCTCGTGCGCGTACGAAAAGAACCCTTATTTCGAATCAAAAGGACACTTCCATATCCGCATAGCCTATCTATAGCTTCAGGATACGCGACAAGCCTACGGGAAGCGTACGCGACGATAGCGAAGCCAAAGCGTAGAGGTAACGCGTTAGGGGCCCGCCCCGGCGCGCCGTAGGAGGCATACTAGTAATAGCAAGAGGAACGAGCCCGTGAGGGCAAAAGCGAGGAATAGATAACTATCTCTACTAAACTTAAACGTATTAAAGAGAGTCTCGAGAAGAAGAACGCGTAGGCGGCGCGAGAGGTTCGGGTAGTACTCGTACGCGTTAAGCACGCGTTCTAAGGGGTAAGCGCTACTACTAGCGTCGAGGCGAGGCTAGAAAGAATCGAGTCTCTCTTAGTATAAGGAGGAGGACCTAGGGCTATAGGCCTAATAGAAATATCGATTAGAGCGACGTACGCGAGCGTAGCTACGTTTATTATTCGTTTCGTTAGCGAAACGATATTAATATATTCGTCGCGATATACGATACGAGTCTAGCTCTAAGGCGCTAAGGACCTTCCCTCGAAGGAGGTTCTTAAAGAGATTAAGAAGACGATTAGCGAAGCGACTACGATTCGCGTACTTCGTAGCGACGATATCGATATTACGGTAGCGAGTAAGAAGGTAAAGAATCGCGCTTAAAGTCTTCCGTTAACGAAAGGCCTTAAGATTATTCGACGCGATTACTTCCTAAAAGTATTAGGCGTATCTTTTATAATCGAGGTCGCGAGAGAAAAGTAGGCGAATAACGAGATATTCGTAACTAGTATCTATAAGGCTTCGAGAGTACTCTCTCTAGGTCTTAGAATTACTTAGATTTAATAGCTATACGAAAAGAGCTATACGCCTCGCGTACGATCCGATAATAGTCCGAAGTAAAGCGATACTCTAATTATAGGGGTATAGACCTAGACGATATAGAGAGTAGCTATATAAGGAGGCCTAGTTATTAATTCGCACTACTATAAGGCGAGGCCCTTCGATAGGAATCTTATCGCTACTTAGTACTTTAGTGTTACGAACCAGGCCTTATATATGGCCGTAGCCAAGCTGTGACGATAGCTAGACCACCAAGGAAGGGTCAAGGGCACGTGAAACGCTATCACGTGACCTCAGTGGCTCTGTTGGATCTCATGGCTCTCAGTGCTCCGTATAGAGCTACTAGAGCCATGAGGAGCACCACGGAGCCATCAGAAGTATATATACGACAGTCATTATATAGCTTTCCTTCGTAGTCAACTTCGTTAACGATCATACCTATACGTTTAAGTATCGATCAGTTTCGCTCATATAGTAGCGTGCTCTCTTACCACCATACCTTGATACTTCCCCCTACTCAGGAACCCTTTATCTCGTGACACCCTAGTGGAGCGATTCATAATACTTTAACTACCCTCTAAAGGACGTATCAGCACTATAGCTAGCTCTAAGCAAACCGTTCGTTCGCTATCACCAACAGAATCGATTAGATCCTCGGCCCTATAGGGAGCTAGGATCTATAGGGATAACCGTGAGAAGAGTGACCTTAAAGTAGAGTACTTCTATAGGGATAGGGCCAAGCTCGGTATGTTCCTTATGCAACTTAAAGTAGTGTTTACGCTATAGCGAGGTAAGTATAATATACATATCGATAGGGTCCTATACGCCGGACTCTATATAAAGGGCTTAGCCTTCCACTAGTTTGAACTAGTTATGGTAGATTATCTTACGACTTACTTAGACCAATAAGATAAAGAAATCAAGGCTATCTTCGGTAACTTTAATGTTTTCGAAGCTCGACTCAAATAGATCTTTGGCACACTAGGAGAGGAACAAGTAGTAGCCCAACGTATTCAATAACTCCGATAGACTAGGTTAGCAGCTCAGTACTATGCGTTGTTTTAAAGGCTTACTGCTAAACTCGATTAGGAATCGAATGCCTTCGCATTAGCCTATTACTTAGGACTAAAGGATTCGATTAAAGATAAGATAGGGATCGAGCGACTAGACGAATATAAGAAACTAGTCGCTAAATCCATTGAGATCGATAATTGGCTCTACGAACGAGCGATAGAAAGGAAAGGGTTCTAAAGGAGGACTAGTAGGACGTTCTATTAGAAAAAGAATCGTTACTAGTCCTATAGAGACCCGATAGACTTGGACAATATAGAATATAGTCGGTCCTCACGACTAAAAAGTAAGTTCCAACGCTAAGGTCTATTACCTAAGGAGCGAGAGAGACGCAAGAAAGAAAACCTATACTATAGTTATGGAAAATCCGGACATAGGGCGCGAGAATACGATACTCGCCTATAAGGACTATATATAATAGACAATATAGCCGGTATTAGAGAAACAAAGGCCGACACTCCAATAAAAGAAGAACTCGAACGTAGGGTACAAAATAATGAACGTACTCAAAAAGCTAGTAGCGCCGAGAGAGTATAGAAGGAGTCGGAAAAGACTTAGGGAGAAGGAGCGCTCTCGCCACCATAAGTTAAACGTAGTGAAGAGGTTACCGAAACCGCCGGAACCTATCATTCACGAAGTACGGATGACGAAGAAACCAATGAATACGAAATAATCGATAAACACGAAGTAGAATCATGGGCTTTCTATTTTAACGACTTTTGTCCTATTTATCGACCCTTTAAGGAATAGTCGGGATAGTTCCCTTACGGAAAGAAAACTAAGGTAAAGACGGACAAATTTAGAAAAGCTCGACGAGATATACTTATAGTTATAGAATAGGAAGATATCCCTTACTAGGAAAAATATAGGGTGATTATATAAGGTAACTACGTTATAGTTATCTTAATATCGTACTAGTCCGAAGTACCCTATAACGGGTATTATACGGAACTAGAACTAAACCTATATAGAGAAACTCATCGAAAGTTTAGTTTATATACTAATCCCGAAGGAAAAGAAGAACTAGTTCTATTGATACGCTATATTGTAATGAGATACGACTAACGACGAACCTATATATACGATATAGTGGAAGAAAATCGATACGACTTTCTATTCGCCCTATTAGACGATACCGATATAGATAGCGAATATAAGGAAGCACTCTTAGATAAGACTAATCTACGAGGAGTAGGGAATATCCTAAGACGAGGAGGGACGATAGTAGTTATATAAACTAAGTACTAAACACAAGAACTATACCAACACTAAGGCCGATACGTATAGAAGTATCTCCTCTACAACCCAAAAAGAGAACCTCAAGAAGAAGATAAGTGTATAGTCCTATAGAGATACTACGACTACGACGTAAGAAGCCTAGTACACTACTACTAGGTAATCGATAGTCACTAGTTTATATTTCCCTTTAAGGA